GGGGGGAGTCGATAATGTGCCATTCGTCGAAGAAAATTGGTCTATTTGAAATTCATATATGATCGTGACCTGAAAAGATGAATCTCTGACCTTTTTATAACACGTGGGGGCATATTCGTCCCCACTCAACATCATGATCACCTTCTGAAAGAGATGTATAACTGTGTAATACTGTAATATATTGCGATGTCAAAAATCTGATTTGCGCGGTATCGTGATGCTCGATATTACACTTTTTCCATCCCATTTATCGTATATGGTTTTAAATGATATATATTTCAGTTAATGATATATACATATATAGTAAGTCTATTTTATAAAAAAACGCATGCAATAGTTTTTAAAACTCAACGATTGCAAACAATCTCCATCAGCTTTATATTTTGATAAGTCTGCTATATATCAAGCCAACTTTTATGGGCATCTTGGTTGGATGTGTTTTGCGATATAAAAATATTTTAAAAAATTATCCTGTTAATATAAATTTTGTAAAATAAAAGAGCAAAATGGATGAATCTTGTTTACAAAATTACAAATGAAATTATTATTTGTTCTGCTAAGTAAGTATGAAATTTATACTATGTGAATTGTGTATATGTTTCTACTAACAAATCTTAAAAATTATAATGTTATGTTATATAATTTTTTTCTAAATTTACATAATGACTCCTGGCAAATATTTTACAAAAATTAAAATGTGCCAAAAGATCATGTCACTTTAACGCGATATGTATATAATACTCGATGAGTAGATTTATTCGGAAAATTTATTTTAGAGAAGAAGACCCTATATTATATGTATTAGCCTGATATATGATATTATTATATAATACTATTTATAGATATGATGTTCTCTGTGTGCGTGTGTGTGTATATACATAAAATACGAAAGAAACACAAAGAAATTTTTTCTTGGAGGTGACTTATGAGATGTATAAGCAATAATCTTATTTCTTATAATCTCGAGCGAGAGTTGACCCCGTTATCGTCACGCTTCGAGTTTTATCCCCCGTTTTACTTCTGCTTGTAGCGAGCTATGCATATTTATGAACTAACGTCGCTTTCAAGCTGATTTTGCAAGTACGCCGATACCTCGAAGATTAACATACATCTTTTTTCTTTTTTATACTTCCAAATTACGCATTATTTTTCAAATTTTTTAAAGTATTTAATAATAGATTAAAAAAACTTTAGATATTTAATAGAATAATAAACTTTTTAGATATAACTTTAATAATAAATTTTAAATGTAACTTTAATAGAATTTCAAGATTCCGTACACATTTTTTAAAAATATTATGTTTAAAAATATAAAAAAATTAAGCCTAAATTCAGTATAAATAATTTTCTCAAGTTTGAAGAAGGCTTATTTTAAGCATTCTCTTTAGCTTGTAGCTTTATATATATTTATATATACAGATACACGTACAGAAACACATACATACACACACACATACATACATATAGCTAACCTCTTGTCCTGAAACAGTGAACATTCTCTTGGCTCCATTCATCTTCAATACTTGTCCAAGATCTTCTAGAACTTCTTCGAAAGGTTGCGATGTGCGAAGATTCAGTAGAACTCGGCACTGCCAAGTTAAATTAGTTTACAGGTTAGGTTAGATATATAATGTATAAATATATCGATAAATGTGTGTAACTAAAAATTTAAATCCAAGTAATAATAATAAAACTAAAATAAATTGTTGGACAACTTTTTTGTAATATTCATTTTATAATATTATACATTTTTGCTTCCTCATAGAGAAAGCTTTGTTTTTTGTACTATAAGAGTATTCGTTATATGTAGCATAAATATCTCTCTTACCCCCTTCTTCTTTTTATAGCACATGCACCCCAATGTCAAATCAATTTCATATTAGAATTATTATCATTATTTTAGATTTATTGCAAGAAAACAAATCAAAAATTACTATTTGTATCTTAATTTTACTATAAAAAATTATTTATTTTAATATTAAATAATATAAATTATAGACGAAATATGTACACGTATGTGTGTATACGTGTGTGTGTGTGTTGTGCGTATTGAAAAAATAAAAAACTTTCGCGCGACTGCTATATTGTCGATTAAAATCAAATTTAATTAGAAATATATATTGAAATATTATGTTTATAAAATATAAATTTAAACAATTAGTTTTAAGCAGATAACAAATAAAATAAAAAACGACAAATTGAATTATATTTAAGAATTGAGTAAATAATAGATAAGTTACATTATAATAGAATTATATATGATTAGAGTTAAAAATAATTTATATGAAATGGAAAATTTATTCATTTAAGTATATTAAAATTCATTATTTCAAAAAAATATGTAAAATTTAATCGCGTATTTATTGAAAAACGTGTTAATTTATTTACAAAGGCTACTGTGAGATAAATCACAAAAATGTGTATGTTTTGATACAGATTTAAGATATTATTATTTAGTACGCTAACTAATCTCAATTCTCATACCTGAACAGTATGGTCATGGTTGTTGACGATACGAATGACACGACCCGAGGAAGGCTTTCCACCGCCAGGGGGTGGCGCTTCTTCGGTGATGGAAGCTTTCCGACTAAGATTCGGCACCACTGGCGGTCTACTTTGCCATCCTCCAACTGCACCTCCGGTTCCGGTGGCGCCGCTTCTACTACCTCCACCGCCTGCCGGACTTGTGTACCAAGTGTTATTTTTTTTCCCATAACTGGCCGGCTATTGTAAAAAAAATTATCATCATTAATATCTTTAATTTAGAATGCTTTTCAGCAAGGAAACACAGAAAGATTGTGTCACACAATTGAATGCACAATGCATGGGTGCTATTTAGACACAAATGTTTCAATTGTACTCTTTAGTTGTGTCAATTGTGTCATCTTGTATTGTTGCAAAAAAGCACTCATATATTTATGTTATGATATAAAAAAAAGACAAGATAAGATGGTTTCTTCTCTTATATTTTCTTACATTTAGATATTATATGCATATATCTGGATTATAAGATTTTTGAGATCTCTCTTTTCTCACATATTTAGATAAATCTGATAAATATTCAGAGAACCTGCATCATGTCGATCGGCAGCGATATCACTTCAAAAGAATCGCTCATTAACACGACAAAACTATCTGTCCAGCAGCTGGAGTCTTGATTACAAGATTCAAGTTCTGAGTCGCTACAGAAGTCTGCTTTTTCTTGTATGACGTCAAAATCCGATCCCAAGTCGTCCGACTGGGACGAAGACGAACTTGCCGACTCAATTGTGAACTTTAATGGACCCGTTGTCACCCCTGAAGGTTCACTTACTTCACTATTTTTGGCTTTCAATGTCGAATGCACGATCCACAAACTCACATGATCCAAAAAATTATTAATATTTCACTGTTTATCTTGTTAAAAATCTTGAATTTTCAATCTAATCGATTTTGATTCTTTCAATCTTTAATAATTGATAATCTTCTACGAGCATCGAAAAAAAATATCAAAATATTTTGTTAAGAATAGAAAAGCTGAAAAATATATATACGATATATTACGAAGATATATTATGAAGACTTTGTGAAACGATGAAAAATCAGAGAAGATTTTACTTTAATCACAATCGTGATTCTTATATGATTCAAGATGCTTTTACCATTTCAATTGTTCATGTTATGATTTTAACATTTTTTAATAAAAACGATTTTAATCTCAATCTTTAATGATCTTTTGTAATCAAGAGAAAGAATGGTCTTTTTTTACTAAGAAAATGAAAAAATTGTATAAGAAGCTGTTACAATAAATATTTTGTAAAATAACGAAGTTGGGTCCACTTTGGTCACGATAATAATTTACCAAAAAAAAAAAAACAAAAAAGAAACAAAATATTTACATCGGTTTCGACATTAAATTCATCAAATTCAAAAATCAAACATTGCTATGACGCGATTTAATGTAAAAGTCTATCGCAGTTATCTTCTCATCAATCTTGAATTGCGTGACACGATTGTTATTTCTCTTTCGAATATTGACGGAACAGGCCACTCTTGGGTTGGTGCAACCGCGACTGTGTTCAATGGACGACTACTGGGGCAGGTAGGAGGTGGGATAGATGTATTGAAGAACTAGGGTGCTGCAACATCCCCTACTACACCCCTCCACTTTACAAAGGGCTACCGCCGCTCAAGGACGACCATCCCCTGACCCTTCACCTCCTTTTCCATCTTGTGCGCCCCTCTTCTTGCTTCTCTGAGCAATAATACCAATTCAGAATGCTAATTCCACAAACCAAAGAAACACGACTATTCCTTTTCTGTATTTGTTAATGGTTGTTAATGAACGCATTGAGTATACCTCTTTATTGCTCGCATCAATTAAATTAACGACATCTTGAAATTGTTTTCCAACATATTATTTATTAAAGCTTTTTTGCTAAAAGATTAATTAGAACTTTATTGTTAAAATCTTTTCTTCTCTATATCGAATCATTCATATATTAAATTTCTTTTTCTTGTTAAATTGTTTTATTTGCTCACTTTTTTTCTTCTACTAACAGATCTGCTAATATATCAAATCATTTATTAAACTGTTTTTTTTTCCATTACTGTGTGAAATCTTTTTTCTTATTGTTGAGAGAATTATCTACTAAATTTTTTACTCTTCTACTAAATTGCATTTGCACAAATTTTATCTCTTTTATTAAATTTTCTGTTAAAATATATATTTTTTAACTTTATTCTATGATAATAAAGATTATTATTAATAAGCTTTAACAAAGATTCAAGCTCTAATAATAATATATTAAGACTATTAAGTATATCAGAGTGTAATGTTTGTCTCGATAAAAGGTGATAAAAGCAACTGCGGAAATTAAAGATATACACGCCTTCCTAATAAATCTCTGAGATTAGAAAAAAAAACTTGATTCCCCAGAAAGCTTAGCCTATGTTAAAGCACTTAACTTGATGGACTAACTAAGACCAATACTAGAGTATATATCAAAGAAAAGAAAAAAGCTAAGGTGGATAATAGTCTATAAATTCAGTTATTATCTCGAAGCACGCATATTATCTTACTAACATAAAGTTAGTACACACATAACACTTTTTATCATAATTTCTTATAGAAACAAACTATGCAATTACACACAAACATATTTTTTATCAATATTCTTAAATATTTTTATATATTAACAATTATTTCAAAAATAATTAAATAACTATAATATTTTTTAATAAACCTTTTTAAAAGATATAAGAATTATAGATTTCCATTTTTAAAAAATATTCATCATTAAAATGGTTTAAAGAAATAAGGTCAATTAAATATAGCAAGAACAGAAAGAGTTCAAAATTTTAACATTTATTTAACTGTAATAACCAATTAATTTTCTTTTAGATTTAATATTTAAAATCTTTAAGAAATTCAAATCAAAGTAACTTTATTCAAGGCAAAACTCAATAAAAACGTAAGTTGCAATAGCGATTTAATAGATGCAAATCTTTTGCATCAAGTTAAATTATTGCAACCTTTAGCAAATAGTTCTTGAATAAAATGCAATTATTATTTGATAATCAATCAATAACTCGTGAATATTCGATATAAAGTATCAAAGAAAGATATGATAATAATAGTTGAGGAACAAATTAACGTAAAAACTGAAGAGAATCAATCCTTTTTATTCTCTAATACATTAATCCATCCATCCTACTTTCATATATTTTAATCCCTCACTCAATTAATAACATTAATACGTCATTCCCTTGCTCATTACTACATTTTTTTCAGTCTCTTACTGCAAGGAAATTGCACAACTAAAATTTCATGTCATCTATTCTATTGTATTTTGTAATTATTTTATAAAAATATAAGACGTTTCTCCTCTTTTTCATTTTTATGATTAAGTTGATATTCAAATTAATGCAAAAGACCTGTTGCATTTATAAAATAAAATCAAAAACAAAATTGCAAAAATTCTACGTTATTTTAAATTATTTCAAAACTTTTCAACTTTTCCAATTATTCCGCAATAAAAAAATGGGATTTAACAGATACAATTATTTTTGATAATATTATTATCTGTGTCGTAAACTTATCGTTGCGTGTCTACTATCTTTCTAATATTATTTCATCGTTATCATGCATTAAATGCATGCAGTACAGACAAAAAACGTGTAGATTTGTATCACTATATCAATAAAATTTTAAATCGAAATTTATCATGCAGTTTTGATTTAGAATAATAGTAAAAACATACATATATACAGGGTGTCCGACAAGTAAATGACCAAACAAAAGGTGGAGGAAGATTGAGTCAAACTGAGTCGAAAAGTCCTGAACCATTTTTTTTTATAACGCTTAATAAAGGAATTATTATTGAGTAAAGTCTGGCCAATCAGCGCTAACCTTTAGCCGGGCCACGTCGGTAAGCCGCGCACCATGAAGTGTGCGCCGCCGCATACTACCAGACGCGCGGCTCACCGACGTGCGCCGTCCAGCTAAAGGTCGGCGCTGATTGGCCAGACTTTATTCAATAATAATCCTTTATTAAACATTATAAAAAAAATGGTTCAGAACTTTCCGACTCAGTTTGACAATCTACCTCCATTTTTCGTTTGACCATTTATTTGTCGGACACCCTGTGTTGTATATATACATATATATATA